CACATATTCCGAGCTATGGGTTGCAGTGACGTTCAGAAGGTGACATATGCTTCTTATATGTTGATGAAGGAAGCTGAAACTTGGTGGGAATTTACTCGGCGGCAGATGGAAACGGAGGGGCGAGTGATTACCTGGACTGTCTTCAAGGAGAAATTCCTTCAGAAATATTTTCCTGCTGATCTTAAGAGGAAGAAGGAAATGGAGTTTCTAAGGTTGGAGCTGGGTAACATGTCTCTGGGAGAGTATGCGGCCAAGTTTGAGGAATTGGGCCGGTTTTGTCCATACGCTGAGTTGGAAGTAGACGAGAGGTCCAAATGTTCTAAGTTTGAATCGGGCCTGAAGCCCAAGCTAAAAGGATGTTCGGGCATCAAGAAATTGCGGATTTTGCCACCCTGGTAAACAAGTGCAGGATGTATGAGGACGACCTGACAAAAGATGAAGTGGTGACTCCTCGAACCAATCCTCCGAGACACTTTGGGCCTCAAAGGAATTATGGGAAGGGAAAGGGTAAGGTTTTCCGAGAGGAACAAAAACCATACTCCCTTACTATTGGGAATCGGGGAAATAGTTCGCATGGGCCGAGGCCACATGCGAAGGCGGGAGGATCACAATTTTAGTCTCCGTCCTTTTGCAACAAGTGCGGCAAGAATCATGTTGGTGAGTTGTGCCCTAGGACGACACTTAGCTTCTTCCACTGCAAGGAAGCTGGGCACATCAAACGATATTGTCCTAAGCTACTGCAGGGCGTGAATGCTGTGAGGGCTGAATGACCTAGAACCACTGGCAGAGTGTTACCATGAGTGGTGTAGAGACATCGGGTGTAGATGGCCTGATAAAAGGTAATTGCATGGTGGCAGGTATCCCTCTTTTAGTGTTGTTTGATTCGGGAGCGACACACTCCTTTGTATCTATTGAATGTGTGGATTGACTGAAACTGCGAACAAAGTCATTGCCTTTTGACTTGGTCGTATCCACCCCAACTAATGTACCTGTGGTGGTGTCGACAGTTGTGTCTCGGTGTCCGGTAGTGGTAAACGGTACGACATTTACCGTGGATTTAATCTGCTTGCCACTATCCCAGTTAGATCTAATTATGGGAATGGACTGATTGTCGGCAAATCAGGTGGTGCTTAATTGTGCTGATAAGACCATGATATTCAGGGATCCAGATAAGATTTCTAATGAGGCTAGTTATATGAAGCCGTTGTCGGCTAAGGAAGTCAGGACTTCCTGTAAGGAGGGAGGGGCCGTATTTATGTTGTTGGCATCCCTAGAGGGTATTGAGAAACCCAAGGTTGAGGATATCCCGGTAGTTTGTGAATTCCCTGAGGTTTTTCTTGGTGATATACCGGAATTTCCCCCAGTAAGAGAAGTTGAATTCTCTATTGATTTGGTACCTGGAACGGGACCCATCTCTATAGCTCCTTATAGGATGGCACCGTTAGAATTGATTGAGTTGAAAAAGCAGGTTGAGTACCTACTGGCAAAGAAGTTTATTCGTCCTAGTGTCTCGTCGTGGGGCGCGCCTGTTTTGTTGGTTAAGAAGAAATATGGTAGTATGCGGTTGTGTACCGACTACAGGAAGTTGAACAAGGTTACTATCAAGAATAAGTATTTGTTGCCTAGAATTGATGACTTAATGGATCAGTTGAGAGGATCGGTGTTGTTTTCAAAGAGTGACCTTCGGTCGGGTTACCACCAATTTCGTGTGAAGGCTGAAGACATTCCTAAAACTGCTTTTAGGACGAGGTATGGACATTTTGAGTATTTGGTTATGCCTTTTGGTGTAACGAATGCCCCAACAATATTTACGGACTACATGAATCAGATTTTTCATCCGTATTTAGATTCATTCGTAGTGATATTTATTGATGACATTCTGATTTACTCCAAAAGCCGAGAGGAACATGCCGAACACCTGAGGATTGTTTTAGAACTTCTTAGTAAGAACCAGTTGTATGTGAAGCTGTCCAAATGTGATTTATGGCTGGAATCAGTAAACTTTCTTGGACATGTAATATCTAATGAAGGAATAGCAGTGGACCCTTCTAAGGTCGAAGCAGTTATGGAATGGGCACTACCTAAGTCAGTCACCGAGATTAGGAGTTTCCTAGGTTTAGCTGGTTACTACAGGAAATTCATAGAGGGGTTTTCCAAGTTGGCTTTACCTCTGACTAAACTTACCAGGAAAGGAGAACCGTATGTGTGGATAGTCCATTGTGAAGAGAGTTTTCTATAATTGAAACGGAGGTTGACTACAGCGCCAATGTTGGTTCTTCCTTGTACTGATCGAGATTTTAGTGTTTATTGTGATGCTTCCAAGAAAGGGTTTGGTTGCGTGTTGATGCAAGAATTGAAGGTTGTTGTGTAACACCCTAAATTTAAGTCTTTAAAATTATAGTATCAGTCCTGGAAGTCTCGCTTGAGCGAGAGATTCTCACCTGAGCGAGAAACGCTCACCTAGGAGGGTGAAATCCTAGGCTATACTGGAGGATTCTCGCCTGGGCGAGAAATGGCATTTTGGAAATGTTGAGACTGTGAGATTCTCTCTTGAGCGAGAGTGTCAGATCTGAAATTTTAAAAGGCGGGATTTTCTCGCCTGAGCAAGAATGGGCTCGCTTGAGCGAGAACCCGACGACTCCTCTTTAAAATAGAAACCCCAAACTCATTTTAGGGTTAGAACTTTGAAGAGAAGAGAGAGAGGAGAGCTTTTCAAGAGCAAAGAGCCTTAGGACTCATCTTAGAGCTTGAGAAGAGGTAAACCTCTTGTTTCTAACTCTTCTTCTTCCTCTCTAACTTGTTTTGGGTATGTTGGATCTCTTTTCAAAACATGAGAAACCATGGAAACTCATCCTTTAGAGTTATGGTTCGTTTTATGTTGTTTTTCTCTTGTAAACTCTTGATTTAGAGTTGATATTTGATGAATGGAAAGGTTTTGTGGGTTATTCATGAAAACCCCAAAAAAACCCCAAAATGAGAATATGAGTAAAAGAGAAATGGATGAAATGTTAAATGTGGATGACGAGTTTGTACTTTGATGTTGATATATGAGATGAACATGTATGTTTAGATGTTTGGAAACTTGTATTGAAGTAGTTTTGGAAATCTTGAAAATATGTGAATCCCTTGTATGTTTGATGATGAAATACGAGTTGTTTATGTGTTATTTTGAATAAATGACTGACATTGTTGTTATTGTTGGAAATGAGGAAAGATCCTAAGGTTGGAGGAAATCGCAGATGAGACTTTTAAAGTTACTCGGAACCGATCCCCAACACTCACCAAGGTAAGGGATAAGTGTCTCTAAATCATACTCGCTGATGTGAATGAGGTATGTGAAAGAGGTGAAGTGTTTATAGAATACTATTGGTACCCTACCCGAAGAGGTAGCGGTTTATTATTGATACCCTACCCGAAGAGGTAGTGGTTTATTTTTGATACCCTACCCGAAGTGGTAGTGGATTATTGTGGTTATCCTACCCGGAGTGGTAGTGATTATTGTAGTTATCCTACCCGGAGTGGTAGTGGATTATTGTGGTTGTTCTACCTGGGGTGGTAGTGGATTATGGTGAACTCGACCTGCCCGATGTGGTAAGGATAATAACTCGACCTGCCCGATGTGGTATGGGGATAACTCGACCTGCCCGATGTGGTATGGGGATAACTCGACCTGCCCGATGTGGTATGGATAATAACTCGACCTGCCCGATGTGGTATGGGGATAACTCGACCTGCCCGATGTGGTATGGGGGATAACTCGACCTGCCCGATGTGGTGTGGGGATAACTCGACCTGCCCGATGTGGTATGGATAATAACTCGACCTGCTCGATGTGGTATGGATAATAACTCGACCTGCCCGATGTGGTATGGGGGATAACTCGACCTGCCCGATGTGGTATGGGGATAACTCGACTTGCCCGATGTGGTATGGGAATAAACTCGACCTGCCCGATGTGGTATGGGAAATGAAACCGATGAATATGATTAAGGGAAATATGAAGGATGAAAATGAGGATGTGAATGATAAAAGTAATATTCATGCTATAGAATATATATTATGGGATATATATACTATAGGGTGAATATGAAGGATGACAATGAGGATGTGAATGATAAAAGTAATATTCATGCCATAGGATATATATTATGAAATATATATACTATAGGGTGAATATGAATGATGAGAAATGAGAATGTCAAAATGAAAGTAATATGCATGCTGTAGGATATATATTATGAGATATATATACTATAGGGTGAATATGAAGGATGAAAATGGAAGATGTTGAGAATGAATGTAATATACATGCTATATGATATATATTATGGGATATATACTATAGGATGAATATGAATGATGAGAATGTCAAAATGAAAGTAATATGCATGCTATAGGATATATATTATGAGATATATATACTATAGGATGAATATGAGTAACGTGAAAATTAAAGGAAGAAAATATGAATGTTTACAATTACATATGTGTGGTTATAAATTATATTAAAGCTTAATCGTATTTGAGATATGGATTATCAGGTGATGTTAGTTTTTGAACTAATGACTTACTCCCTTGTTTTGTGTGTTGTTTATGATAATCCCATTGTAGGTAAATGAAGGATTTGAGGAGGAAGCTCAATTAGGAAGTTTATGTGTTTATTATCTTGATGGTTTTTATCACTGCGTTGATTTGATAACATTTTGGGATGAATGTAAATCTGATTAGGACTGTACTGAGATATGTAGTTATGGAGGTTATAACTCTTAGAAACCTATACTGGTTGTATGTGGTAATTACTAAATGAATGAATTATGTTTTTTCGCAACATGAATTACATGATAATTTAATAGGTTAAAAGATTAATTTCAAGGAATGATTCACGAAGGTTTTTCAGTAAACTAATGAATGTATGTAAGTGTGAACACCCAATTTTGTCCAGCCTATCTTTGAAAAAAAACAAAATTTTCAAAATACACAACAAAAAAGAAAGAAAGAAAAGAATTGAATTACGTTTTTATTTATTTATTTATTTCCACAATCTGAAGTTTATTAGTACCTATGTGTGAATATTTTGATTAGGATTAAAAGGACCTTGACGCAGATAAGAACTGAATTTACAAATCAAGCATGTGCTGCACCTATACATATTTAAAAAAACAAACAGAATGCCAGACATGAGAGAAAGTTATAAATTTTTGGATTGCATGCAACCGGGAAAGATGGACAGATTTGATGACCATAACTAGGCAGGACTTGCAAAACTCATGGAACTTGCTGGAGAGACCAATGTTCAAAAGTCAAAGACTTTTTCCTTGGAGCAGAATATATCAACAATGTGCTTGCTGCTCACAGCCTCCTCGATCAGTACGTTGGCACCCAGCTACACCTCGCTCAAGTTTTCACCATATCCTTTCAAGAAGTTTCTGAAACAGTCATAGGGAATTATTAGACACAAAACACATCAGCCCTTATGCACAGAGAACCAGTGAAATAGACAAATTCCCTATCCTGGTTAAAGAGATTGCAGTACTAATTGATGAAGTAATTTGGTATGGTAACAACAATCAGAAGTGAATAGGCAAGGATAAATGCCACATAATCCCCCTGAATGACAATAAAAAGTCATAAGTCATTTACACTCTCATAGCAATAACCAACATAGTGGAGGCATTAATGAAATAGTATTACAAAGGGAAGAATATTGGTCCTGAGCTATCAATCAGAATGCTAGGCCATGTCACTCAATGATTGCAGTCCAAACATCATTTCAGTTACATCCTCATAAGAAATCAACATTGATGGATAATTGTTATAGGCATTATGAACAGTTACAATTCAAGAGGCAATCATCATTCATAAAAGCTAAGTAATGGCAAATAGCCATATTCCAGCTTCAGTTACAAATAACAATAATAGGCAGACTTAAAGAGGGGTAAAAACAGAAGAAGGCAGAGGAGATTTTGGAGACTCAGCTGGTCTCAATTGGCAAATCAAGAGGTTTTTTCATAACCCTTTATAAACAACCATCAGATCACACAAGAGGCCAGAGATTTGTATTTTTAAAAACATAGCTTCCAGAGAACTCTCCTTTTCCTTATCCATCGAAACACCATACTACAGTAACAAAATCACAGTCCCTACGGCCACAAACGAGCATCACATATACACATAAACCTGCACCAATACTCATTTTCTTTTATTCCAATCCTGATACTCTCACCTCTTTAGACAAAACTTTTGGCAACCAAACATACCCATACTCACATCGTAGGCACCAAGCAGCAAACAAAGAGAATCCAGAAAGGGGAAAGTCACACAAAAGCAAGTAGAACGGAAGCATAAACGTTCTAAGTCACGCATTTGGTCATCAACGGGTATAGTTTTCCTTGTCTAAACACAACAATTCCTATTACAGTATCCATGACATAAACTAAAGAGTCAATCAAGAAAGGGGCAATGAGTGAAATTTAGATCATAAAGAACATACCATTTTCGTTTTGGATGTTAATCTATATTCCAAACCTGCATTTATAGATATATCACAGGAGTCCGGACTTTCATTTATTCAACTTCAACAAAAATGTATACACTTCTAACCAATTAAGAACAGCAAATAAGAACGCCTCATGGTGGTCATAAAACGATTTTTGATTGGTTTCTGAGTAGATTAATATCCAAATCATTCCATAATCAAGTAGGAGATTGAATCAAGGCTGATTAAAAATCCCTAAAAAGGGGAATTTCGAAAACCTCAGTAAGAAAGGGAAAAGAGAGTGCTTCATAACACTCGAACCACCACATCCGATGGTGGTTCTGGCGGACGGCCTTGGCGGATTTCAACCACCTTCACAATTCAAAGAGGACGGAAGAAAGGAAGGAAGAAGAGGATGAATAAGATTTTCATACTTTCCCGAACTTGGAATAGAAGAACAAAACCGAAGGAAGGAGTTGGAGCGGACGAGAAGATCCTCGTTGGCTTGTCACCGGAACGAAGGCGCTGCTGCTGTCGTCGGAGGAAGAACCCGCAAACCCTTTCTTCTCCTCTCCTTCGTCTTCTCTTTTCTCTCTTCTTCTCACTTCTCTCCCCTAAACATCATCTAATTTCCAAAATGAACCAAATGAAAACCTAAATGTTTCCCCTTCCAATTTTACCCGAAACCCATTTCAAATAGGTAAAGTTGAAGCCCACTCGAGCTAACCATTCTTGTTGTTGTTTATACATTCTGTCCTGTTTTATTATTAGTGCATTATTGGCAAATAGGTTTTATTTTGGTCACGTTGCCTAATTTAAGTGATACAATGTTATTTCATTTTTTTGAAGGTAGTAGGTTTATAGTAAAACATAATAAAACATATACTCATGTTGGAAAAGGACGTTTTTGTGACTTAAGTATTTGTTGGTTTTAGAAAACTTTTTGTAAGAAAAGTTCTTTCACTGTTTACTTAAACGAATTTCAATGGAATTTTTATAGTAAGATTACGGTTCGAGTTGACTTTGACTTCTCTGAAAATGGCAGGAAGGTGAACGACCAATACCGACTCTAAACTATTAATTCCATAACAAAATGTTTCAAACAAAAATTACTTTATTACTTAAACGAATTTTAATGGAATTTTTATATTAAGGTTACGGTTCGAGTTGACTCTGACATCTCTGAAAATGGGAAGAAGGTGAGCGACCAATACCGACTCTAAACTATTAATTCCATAACAAAATGTTTCAAACAAAAATTACTTTATTACTTAAACGAATTTAAATGGAATTTTTATAGTAAGGTTACGGTTCAAGTTGACTCTAACTTCTCTGAAAATTGGAAGAAGGTGAGCGACCAATACCGACTCTAAACTATTAATTCCATAACAAAATGTTTCAAACAAAAATTACTTTATTACTTAAACGAATTTAAATGGAATTTTTATAGTAATGTTACGGTTCGAGTTGACTCTGACTTCTCTGAAAATGGGAAGAAGGTGAGCGACCAATACCGACTCTAAACTATTAATTCAATAACAAAATGTTTCAAACAAAAATTACTTTATTACTTAAACGAATTTTAATGGAATTTTTATAGCAAGGTTACGGTTCGAGTTGACTCTGACTTCTCTGAAAATGGGAAGAAGGTGAGCGACCAATACCGACTCTAAACTATTAATTCCATGTTTCAAATAAAAATTACCTTATTACTTAAACGAATTTTAATGGAATTTTTATAGTAAGGTTACGCCTCGAGTTGACTCTGACTTCTCTGAAAATGGGAAGAAGGTGAGCGACCAATACCGACTCTAAACTATTAATTCCTTATCAAAAGTATTTTAGAAAAAATCATATTATACGACTTAACTACTTCAACATATTTTTTAAACTACCCAAACCAATTTAATTTTTTTTCAAACCAGAACTACGTAGCCTTGATTTCCCTTTTGCACCTAGGGATACATAGGAGCAAGATGAACTCTTGTCAGGCACAACAATAAAAAAATAAAAATATTTTGCTTTAGTAATTCAATTCAAATAATTTTGAGGGTATAATAGTCCATGTTATTAGCGAGGGTACCGTTTAATACGGGCGGACGGGGTGCTGATACCTTCCCCGATCTGTAATCGACTCCCGAGCTCAGAATCTCTGATTAAAGACCAAATTATCCTAATTGGGCATGTTTAGAGTTTTCTACTTTTAACCGCAAAAAACGTAGTGGCGACTCCAAATCAATTGGAAGAGGTAGAAATCGAGTTCGTCTCTCCCTAAGTCGCAGGGTCGGTCTTCCAACCGAAAATCAGGTCGCGACAGTAAGAAAAGATTTTAAATAAACGAAAATTTTTCAAGGGTAGAATTTGGGTCCTTACAATATGGTATCAAAGCATAGTTAATTCTGCGACCTAGGGAATGACCTTACTTGCTTCTTTGTAACATGTTTATGAATTTACTGGTTGAGATTGTGTGAATTGAATGTTTAAAGCATGTAGCCTTGGTATAGTGACATGTAATGTGCTATGAGACTATGTGATAACCTGACTTGTGTGAGTTAAATTTGTGTACTGACTACCAATGAGCGCAGGTTAAGACATGGCTAGAAGAGGAACGAGTCAGAACGTTCAGAATGATTTGTTGGTTCAGATGGTGGCTACACTACAACAGATGAACGAAAACTTGCGTAGTCTGAATCAGAACCCCGCACCGAGTCCGAGTTCGCAAAACCTAGTCCACCCGGACCGACGGAGTACCGAGGTCTAGATGAGTTTTGCAAAAGGAACCCTAGTCAGTTCCATGGGGGATTTTCTCCTGATGCTGCCCTTGAGTGTATTCAGGGAATGGAGCGGATCTTCCGGGCCATGAACTGTTCGGAGGCTCAGAAATTGGCCTATGCCACTTACATGCTAGTGTCGGAGGCCGAGAACTGGTGGGAGTTCACTAGACGCCAAATGGAGACGGAGGGACAATTGATTTCCTGGAGTATTTTCAAGGCGAAATTCCTTCACAAATACTTCCCTGCTGATCTGAAAATGAGGAAGGAAATGGAGTTCTTGAAGTTGGAACAAGGAAACATGTCGGTTGGGGAATATGCGGCTAAATTCGAGGATTTGGCCCGGTTTTGTCCATACTCTGAGTTGGAAGTGGAAGAACGATCCAAGTGCTCTAAATTTGAATCGGGTTTAAGACCCAAACTGAAGAGGATGTTCAGACATCAGGAGATTGCTGACTTTGCTACTTTGGTCAATAAGTGTAGGATGTACGAGGATGATCTGAAGGCGGATGAGTTGGTGACCCCTGAAACAAATTTTCCCCGGGACAATGGACCCCAACGCAACCATAGGCAAGGAAGGTGTAAGGAGAGAGTGGAGGATGACCGAAAACCTTATGCGGCGATCACTGTTCATCGTGATCGAAATTTCCAAAGGTCTGGCCCACTTACAGTTCCTACCGAAGGGGTTTCTACTCCCATGTGCAACAAGTGCGGTAGACTTCATTATGGAAGTACGTGCCCGGGAAAAGGGAATGGATGTTTCCACTGCAAGGAGTTTGGGCACATTAAAAGGTTTTGTCCCAAGGTAGATAGGAGACTTAATGTCATTCATGCTGAGGAGGCAAGGGACCACGGTCGAAAGGTTACCCCGAGTGGCACAGAGACATCAGGTGTTGATGATCCGACGATTAAATTGCATGGTGGCAGGTATTCCTTTTAGTGTTGTTTAATCGGGAGCGACACACTCCCTAAAATTGCTGAATGTGTGAACCGACTGAGATTGTACACCAAGTTGTTGTTTTCGACTTAGTTGTACCCATCCCACCAAGTGTACTGGTGGTGGATGTCGATATGGGTGTCTCAGTGTACGATTGAGGTAAATGGTAGAAACTTTACCATAGTGTTGATATGCGCAATGATGTCTCAGCTGGATTTAATCATGGAAATGGACTAGCGGTCAACAAAATCGTGTTATGCTTAACTATGTGATATTTGTTGAGGTGAAGATTTAAGATCTAGTTTGCATTGATATGTATGTGTATACCAAGGGGTAAGACTTATACTGCTAGTTGAGGAAAGAGGTTAGTTAAGTTACTTACCCCGTCAATGTGATGAATGCATTTGAATAGACCTGAAACTTTTGGTTTCGAATGATCGGTCTTTTTTGCGGTAGGACATTGGCAATGCACGAAATGGTGGTGGTGTACCTCAATTGTCTGCATTGAATATTGTACCGGCAAAAGTTGTTTCCGTTTCGTGAACGTCAGTAATTGCTGTGCATGATTGTAGTGTAACCATATGAGAGAAAGAGATTTGAGCTATGTTGAAATGAGTATGCACACTTTGTTGCACGACGTGGTTGCCACGAGTCGTGGGTTCAAACCGTTTCGAAAATCATTTTTGGGTGAAACATAGCTTGTGACTAAATATTGATTTAGTATCATGTTGGAGAATCCCAAAATTTGAGCAACCATATCTGAGTAAATATGAGGTTGTTAAAAATTTGGCGATACGATGATGACCAAACCTAACGCTTGTTGAGGGATCGAGTGTTTGTCGACTTGCATTTGTCGATTGGTAACAGAGTATCTAGTTTTGAGGTGAATTGATGGTTTTATGGATTTAATTGAGGCTAAGGATCGGTAATTCCTTTCTATGGTAAGATTTGATGACAAAAATACTTGATGTAATTGGATGATTACTGGATAGTGTGATTGTGTACAATGGAAGAGACGCTACGAGTCTTATTGAAGAGATGTTTTGTGGAATGAGTAAAATGAAATTTTGCTATTTTCTTGAGTGGGAGTAGAACTAGCTAGTGTATAGTGGATGTTAAACGAGGCATTGGGGTGGATGAGGGCTAAGGAGTTCCCTATTCGCTTAGTTTCGGGAGTGTTATCGGATTCTTAACGTATGTGAGGATTGTTAGCTGGATAAGTCCTAGAGACCTATGGTTCTTGACGAATATAAGAAAAATCTTTAGTCTGAATTATGGTTTAGTCCTCATGGTATTCGAGTTATTCAAGGCTGTGATCAATACCCATAGCTACGCATATCCAAAGTTACACCCTCATGTTAGCAAATATATATATATATATATATATATATATATCCACAATTACATAATTTTCTAGACCATCAACTATGCACTCATATACAAAATAGTGCTAATGAATAAATCCAAAATATAAAGCTCCCTAAGCTCCCAAAAATGAGTCCCCCTCATGTTACCTGTTTATCTACAATGAGATTATCAATGAAAAGTACACAAACATACAAAGGAATAAGTCGTTAATTCAATAAACATCATTATAAGATAATCCACATTAGAAAATGTTAGTAAACCATTTTTGGAATTCATTTTACTTTGCTACATAACTTGAGCCAAAGTCGCTACACTCCTCGGGGTTAGCTAAAAGTAGATTCTCATTTCTTTTAGAAGAAAACATGCTACATATACTCGAGCCGGAGTTTTGCTTATATACTCAAGCCAGAGTTTTGCTTATATACTCAAGCTAGAGTTTTTCTTATATACTCAAGCCAGAGTTTCGCTTATATACTCAAGCCAGAGTTTCACTTATATACTCAAGCCAGAGTTTCGCTTATATACTCAAGTCAGAGTCGCTAACCTTTCATGGTCGGCTAAAAATATATTTTCTTTTCATTGAATTCACCATCAATCATTTCTCGTAAATCCACGCCATCTTTAGTATAAACACACCCATATATGTTTATACCAAACACGTGATTCACAGTATAATTATTT